AAGAGAATGAGAGGAACGAAAAAAAGCGTCTTTTCTTGTTGTTGGTTTTCAATTTCAAAGAGACGCATTTGAACAGTTATTTTTTTAATTACATTTTTCATAATGGGAATATTGGTCAACATATTAAAGAAGCAAATTTCTTTCATAAAGATGATAAAATATAAAATTTATTTAAAACTGCCCTTTCATCCTCAATCATGATTGATCAATTGATTAACTACGAAGTTAGTGGTGCGAACACAATACATATTAATCTGTGTTAATGATAAGATATTCCATAATATTACGATATTACGAAAAACGGTGGTAGATATCGAAACAAACAAAACATTAAGGAACAACATGGTTGTATTTGGTCTGAAGTTTGAACGAAGAGTAGAAAGGCTAAAGAAGAAGTACTGCAAAGAAATTACATTTTATTTAACTTAATTATCAGCGTGTGAATGGAAATGGAGTGTAACTCGTATCCAATATTAAGTGGAATTTGGAATAGGAAATAATAATTTTCAAAATACGTATTGATTCCGATTCGTATATTTTAGAGATACAATATGAAACTGAACTCACGACGACGTCAGCTTCTTTCAAAAGTTTATAATTAGTTTTACGCCCAGGAAAATACTTCCAAACGTCTATGTTTTCAAACAACGTAGATGTTTTGGAATTAAAAATCCTGGTATAATATGAGGTAGAATTCCATATTGCGTAATGACGAAGTTTGTATAGAAGACGACGAATAGATTCTGGTACTATTATATCATGAAGCTAAGATTTGTCAGTATTCATTTCGGTAAATTCAGTTATTTCTATTTTTTTTTTTGCTAAGTATCTTTCGAAGTCGGCATTCAAGTAAACACTAGAGGAAGGAGAGTTAAATATGTTGCAGGCATAGTTGATATTTCGGGTTCATTTATTTTTAACCCCCCAAAAAAATACAATAGGGTAACTCTGGATACAAAAGTCGTTTGGAAGGACAAGTCAAAATGCAAACACTCCCTATCCTATTCTTCGTGTATATCTTATCCTATACACGATTTATTCGAGAATCAATTAAGAAAAGTTGGTTTTCTGAAGCTGGATTCTGAATAAATTACTTTTGACCATTACGCTCACCGTAATCACAGATGTCTGGAGTTAGGGATATAAGTTGTAACATGCAGCTGGGCAGTAACCAAGAGAAGCTCGACGAACTGACACAACAATTTTATTATATAATTATGTAAAGAATATGAGATATTGATCTTTTTCTCCCAAAATAACCCGCCCTGTATTGTCTTTACACAGTCCGCGCCACCTTAACACAATACGGTTTATTCGCCCTGCTTTGTAGCGTACCACCGCAACGGAGGCTTCAACCTGGTGCTGGTGGCGTGGCACGAGAGCGGCACCTTCCTGGAATACGGCGCCGCCGTCACCATGGTGCCGCGCGTGGGGCGCGCGGTGGCGCAGGCGCTGGCGCAGCTGCCGCCCTCCGTCACCATCGGCCACCTGGTGGGCCACAGTCTGGGCGCGCAAGTCACCGGCCACATCGCCCGCAACCTGCCCAGCCGCCCGCGCTTTATCGTCGGTGAGCGACACCTTCATCCGCACGGAAACATTTTCACTTTTCAGCTCCATCAGAGTCCTTTGACCCAGTAGTCAGTGGCCTCTTTTCTGCCCTATCAGTTTCACTTGGTTTCGTATGATAGTCTCTCCACCATTTTCTTACTTTTTACTGGATCCATTCATCTCAATAATTCTGAATCCCACAGCTTAAAACGTAATGCATTTACCTGAAGAGATTCTAAACAGTTTGACCTTTCCTTGTGACGATCTTTGTTTTTTAATAAAATGTGAAAAGTAATGCCCTGTGTACTATAAAGTGTACTTTGATTGTTGCTGCCAGGCTTGGACCCGGCGGGCCCGCTGTTCTACCCGACCATGTTCGGGTGCCAGGATCCGATCTCCTCGGCCGACGCCGAACACGTGACCGCGTTGCACACAGACTGGTCTCGACTGGGCGCCAATGAGATGACGGGCCCTGTGGACTTCATGCCTCACAACGGCCACCGCCTACAGCCCGGCTGCAACAACCTCGGTGAGTAGAACGCGTTGCAGGGAGGGAAGTCCGGGTGTATTGCCTCTTTAGCATTGGCATGACGGTTAACCCTTAATATTTCTACGGTAATATCATCTACTGACATATCGCTAAAAACTATTTTCGATATCAGGTGACGCCAAAGAAAGTGTATTTGGGTTCAAATTTTGAAATCGATATTCTTGATCGTTATGTAACTTGATCTATAATAGTTTGTTTTTAGAAACGCCGATGTGTAGAAACCTATTTAACTATTTTCTGCTGTCTTCATTTTCAAAAATATTTTACTATGGAAGAGTTACCTCAGCGATACTCGTAGGTAAAATCTTTCGGAGGTATATTAGGTTTTCTTTTTATCTACGTGATTAGAGTAATTTAAATCAAAACCAAATTTCCTCCCGGGAAGTAATGAATGATTTGAATCGTAATTGAATTATTTTTGGATTTAAATGTGAATATTCAAACGTTTACGAAATTCTATTTTAAAAATATCTTTGTTATCAGTTTTACTCATTATTTTCTCGCCTACCTATGAAACGAATAATGTATTGTAATTGTGCACGTTAGTGTTTTTCATGAAAACTTCTTGATTCTCTAAAATCGATCTACGTAAGACACCCGTTCATCTGTTTTGTCAACAAGAGCGTCCAAACTGTTTAGATGATTTTCTCAAAATTTGATATTCCCCGATCGATATGAGCGAATTTGGGGCCCTACGAGTTTGAAGTTATTTTTAATTATTTGAGATATATTATTTGGAGCATCAACACTATTTTTAAAAACGACTAAATTTATTGTTTAATTATTGTCCTAGGATATCGAATAAGGTTCTTAAGTTATTTGTTTCATTTTCGTTAAATTTCCTGATTTTTGTTAATATGTATGTTTGTATGCCTGTAGATTGTAAATGGTTATAATTTATTCGGCGTCTTCCTGCAACCAGAATATTAGGTTTTTTAAATTTAGATTTAGTGTTGAAAAATTCATGAAATAAAGTCATGTATGTTGATTAAATATCTGCCTAATTTTTGCGTAATTTGAACTGAAATAGCAACAATTCCAAAACAATTTTAGAGTTATAAACTGCTTTGAATTTTTTCTT